GTTTGGATTTGGATTTGATACTGGTGTTTGGATTTGGTTTGGATTTGTTACCCAGTGCTTGCTTTTGCATTTGGATTTGATACTCAAGGTTTGGATTTCTTACCCAGTGCTTGCTTTTGCATTTGGATTTGATACTCAAGGTTTGGATTTGCTTTGGATTTGTTTTAGATATAGTGTTCAACGACCCAAACCATTTCGATTTGACAATACTATACGGGTACACTTGGGTCCTCAAGTCCTACTATTGGGGGTACCCTTAGGTCCTCCAGTCCTACTATTACGGGGTACCGTTAGGTCCTCAAGCCCTACTATTAGGGGGAACTCTTGAGTCCTCCAGTAGTACTCCTGGGAGGTACCCTTGGGTCCTCAAGTCCTACTATAGGGGGGTACACTTGGGTCTTCAAGTCATACTATTGGGGGTACTTTTAGGTCCTCAAGCTAGGGGTGCAACAAATCTTGAATAGATTTGGGATTTGGCACCAAATCTTTGAGATTTGGACTTGGATTGGATTTGGTTTCTGGATTTGGGTATGGTTCGGATTTGGTTCCTAGATGCGGATTTCATCTAGATTTGAATCTCAGAATTGCTGCTATCGCTTTGTTTGGCTGAGATTTGAGATTCAGAATTGGTGATATGCTTGAAATTTGGGATTTGGATTTGGACCTGGATTCGGGTTTGGGTCTTAGATTTGGATTTGGACTTGGGATTTGCTTTCAATCTAACATGACTCCAACTTTGTAGTCTTGTTAAATTGAAACCAAATCTCAACTTCCAAATCCAAATTCCAAGCCCAAATCCTACCCAAATTCCAACCTGCTATACACCAAATCTCAAATCCAAATCTAAGATCCAAATCCAAATCCCAAAGCCCAAATCTATACCAAATCCAATCCATTTCGTATTAATTTATAAGACTTGGGACTCTTTTCTCCCTTCTGGGACTTTATTTTGCAAAGCCTCGTCATATTTGGGTAATTTAAGACCAAATCCAAACCCAAATCCAAATCCAAATCCCAGTCTAGAACAAACCCAAATCTGTTTGTACCAAATCCCAAGGCTTTCGGTTTGCTGCACCCCTACCTCAAGCTCTACTATTAGGGGGACCCCTAGGTCCTCCAGTCCTACTATTGGGGTACCCTTAGGTTCTCAAGCACTACTATTGGGGGTACCCTTAGGCCCACAAGCCCTACTGTTAGGGGGTACCCTTAGGTCCTCCAGTTCTACTATTAGCAATACCCTTAGGTCCTCCAGTCGTACTATTGGGTACCCTTAGGTCCTCAAGCCCTACTATTAGGGGGTACCCTTGAGTCCTCCAGCACTACTATTGGGGAGTACCATTAGGTCCTTAAGCCCTACTATTAGGGGGGACTCTTAGGTCCTCCAGTCCTACTATTCGGGGTACCCTTAGGTTCTCAAGCCCTAATATTAGGGGGTACCCTTACGTCCTCCAGTCCTACTATTGGGGGCACCCTTAGGTCCTCAAGCCCTACTATTAGGGGGTACCCTTGAGTCGTCCAGTACTACTATTGGGAGGTACTCTTGGGTCCACAAGTCCTACTATAGGGGGGTACCCTTGGGTCTTCAAGTCATACTATTGGGGATACCCTCAGGTCCTCAAGCCCTACTATTGGGGGTACCCTCAGATCCTCAAGCCCTACTATTGGGGTACCCTTAGGTCCTCAAGCCCTACTATTAGGGGGTACACTTGAGTCCTCCAGTACTACTATTGGGGGTACCCTTAGGCCTACAAGCCCCACTATTAGGGGGTACCCTTAGCTCCTCCAGTCCTACTATTGGGGGTACCCTTAGGTCCTCAAGCCCTACTATTAGTGGGTACTCTTAGGTCCTCCAGTCCTACTATTGGCGGTACTCTTAGGTGCTCAAGCCCTACTATTAGGGGGTACCATTGAGTCCTCCAGTACCACTATTGGGGAGTACCCTTAGGGCCTCAAGCCCTACTATTA